TGCCCGTTTACCACAGGAAGAGGAGGCTCTGTTGTCAGAGATGGATGTAACCGGTCAGGCTTTTGAAGACATGCAGGAGCAAAACGGGCGGCTGCTACAGCAGTTACGGGAAAAGGATGATGCCAACTTCAAGCTGATGTCCGAGCGGATCAAGGCCAACCAGATACACAAGCTGCTGCGGGAGGAGAAGGATGAGCTGGGCGAGCAAGTTCTGGGCCTGAAGTCCCAGGTATGGCTACCCTGGGCTTTCAGGGTGGAGCTAGAGGGGCCAGAGGCTCCCCAGCACTGACTCACCACCCCTGACCTCAGGTGGATGCCCAGCTGCTGACCGTGCAGAAGCTGGAGGAGAAAGAGCGGGCCTTGCAGGGCAGCCTTGGGGGTGTGGAAAAGGAGCTGACGCTGCGCAGCCAGGCCCTGGAGCTCAACAAGAGGAAGGTGAGGCCAGGCCCGAGGGGAGAAAGCAACCTAGGATGGTGGCTCACAGCTGAAGCCCTCCTGTGCCTCCTCTCCCAGCCCAGCTCACGTCTTGAAAGCTTACTGTGTTCTAGTTCCTGTGCTGAGCCTTGTCTGTGCTGGGTTGCATTTTGGTCTCATAACAGTCGTGAGATGGTGTTTGTTATTATCTGCTTTTCTCAGTGAGGAAATTGAGGCTTAGGGCAGGCAGCTGACTTGCTCAAGAAAGATTGGACCAGGAATTGGGGCTGATCTCCTTGGCTCCAGAACCCATTCTGTTGGTTAGCTGTGAAGTAGGGATGCTGGTCCCTGTCACATAGTTGTATTAAACCTCAGGAACGTCTAGGTCATGGCAGAGGCTTAAGATCGATGTTGGTTTTCGTTTTCTTTCCCGTTTGGCTTTTTTTCTTCCCCATTTAATTCATTAATCAAGGCAGTGTTATTCATGCCCTTGCTATGAACCCCTGGCACTGAGTGCTGGGGAGAACCTGGAACAAGAGGGTCCTACCAGAAGTGGGAACCTCCAGTCTTGAGGGGCAGATAACCAGCCAATAATCCCACAGGTAAAATATGCTACTGCAGATCCCAGTAAGTCTTGTGAAAGAAAAATAGGGGAGCCTGTCTCGGGAGCTGAATGTAAGCTGGGGCCTGAGGGGGCCACTGGGAAGAAATAAGTGTGTTGCGGGAGTTGAGGGGAGCAGAGAGAAGAGCCCTGTGGAAGCTGAAAGATAGGAGAGAGCGTTATGCATGTGAAGAAGTGAGTGTGTCAGGAACTGTGGAGACCAGGAGGAGGTGAAGGTGGAGAAGTCAGGAGGCAGGACTAACTCCAGTGAAGACACTGGACTTGGTCCCAAGAGCAAGAGTCACTGGAACGTTTGACATAGGCATCTGTGGACCGTGGCTCCACACTCCTGACTCCCCAAGCTCAGGTGAACGGTCCCCCCTTGCCCTTTCCTGTCCCACCTACCTCAGGCTGTGGAAGCGGCCCAGCTGGCCGAGGATCTAAAGGTGCAGCTGGAGCATGTGCAGACGCGACTGCGAGAGATCCAGCCCTGCCTGGCGGAGAGCCGGGCTGCTCGCGAGAAAGAGAGCTTCAACCTCAAGAGAGCTCAGGTGTGTGCGTGGGGCAGGGGCAGTGTGGCTCTGGGTCACTGGTGTGGCCTCGGGGCGGGTGGTTCAAGAGGAGAACCCTTGCACTTAGCCTAGCCCTTCTCCTGCTCCAGGAGGACATCTCACGGCTGCGGCGCAAGCTGGAGAAGCAGAGGAAGGTGGAGGTTTATGCAGATGCCGATGAAATCCTCCAGGAGGAGATCAAGGAGTACAAGGTGGGGCTGTGGGGCTGTAGTGCCCCGTCCACCCAGGAAATCTTAGATGGGGAGTTGGTGAGAGCTGTAGTGGATAGTCTGGGGACCCCAGAAATAAGTAGCAAAAAGTGGGAAGAACCTTGGTTGTAGAGAATCGAACAACTAACCAAGTATCGTACATGTACTTGTGCCAGGCACAGTGCCTGGCTGGGTGTGGGAGGGCTAGGAACTAGCCTTAGTCTTAGATCTCTTGAAACTGACCATCTGTTAGAGGAGGAAGCCAAGTAATTCTGAGTGATGAGCATTGCGATAGTAGAAGCCAGGGGTGCATGGCAGCTCTGGGGGCTAGTAGGCTTCCTGGAAGGAATGTCATCCAAGGAAAATTTGAAGAATGAGGGTTGGCTGTAAGGAATGAGGATGAGAGGGTTCCAGCAACAGGTAAGGCAGAGGTAGAGGCCCTTCATTGAGAGTGGTGTGCTGGAGGAGAGATTGCTGGACACTGTAGTTGGAAGACAGAATGTGGGTTTTGTGAGGAGCAGGAAGGTTGGAGGCCTTGGACAGTGACAGGGTGTGGTGAGGAGATGTGGGCTTATCCCGTAGGCAGTGTGGAGACATCAAAGGGTTTTTTTGTTTTGTTTTTTTTTAAAGATTTTATTTATTTATTTGAGAGAATGAGATAGAGCATGAGACAGGGGAGGGTCAGAGGGAGAAGCAGACTCCCTGACGAGCAGGGAGCCTGATGCAGGGCTCGATCCCCAGGACTCCAGGATCATGACCTGAGCCGCAGGCAGTCGCTTAACCAACTGAGCCACCCAGGCGCCCCGACATCAAAGGGTTTTAAACCAGAAAGTGATGTGGTCTGATTTGCTGTTAGATTTGGTACAGAGGAGGTGAAGACTACAGGCAGAGAAATCTGTTAGGCTATTGGAGTCATTGAGGCAAAAATGGACAGGGAGCTAGCATGGGGTGTTAGTGACAAGTAGAGGAGGTCAGGAGATATTCAGGAGGCAGAAGTGCTTGGACTCAGTGATGGAGTGAGGGAGAGAGAGGTAACAAGAATGCTTGCATTCCTAATTTGAGAAGCGAGGGATGACAAGTGGCACATAATGGGATTAGGAAGACTGTGGAGAAGCAGATTTTGGTGGACAGTGTTGTGTCTCCAGGATATTGAAAATGAGGTACCTGTGGGAGGCTGGCTGGGAAGGCACTTGAAGCAGAGGGACTGTGTGGACGACAGGGGTTTGGGAGATTGTGAGTAGAGGCAGCAGTGGGAACTGCATACAACTGTGGTCACGCAGGTAGGGTCTGTAGCATGGGGACAGGTCATTCTTTTCCCCTAAGAACCTCAAAGCATAACTGATAGGCAGAGGAGGAGAAGCCTGTGGTTTGGCCTTGAAGGAGCAGAGGCAGCTGGGGGGCAGCCGTGGGGAGGGAGAGGAACGCTTCTCCAGAAGAGATGGACTTGGATGGGTGTGGTTTGAGAGCTAGGGAAGAGGTGATGCTGGGGCAGTAGGCTGGGCTGGGATTTCAAGCAGGGCAGAGGAAGAATGTTAGGGAATTTGGAGTTGAGGGAACTCCTGGAGTTGGAGGTGAGATCTGGTGGCCGGTGGGAGGTTTCAGGATAGGAGAGTTTTGTAAAACCTTCATAGAGAAGAATGAGTCCAGGGACCCAGCCAGATCTCTGAATGGCACCAGGGGTGGGCCCAGTTGAGGGTAGAGACAGCAGATTTCTAGTGGCACTGCTATGCCCATCTGTGACTTAGCAGGTGCAGATGAAGAGAAGGTAGACAGTGAGCTCCAGCTAGGATTGGGGTTTTGCCAGAGAAGGCCAGTGGGGTGAGATCAAGCCCCAGGGCAGAGGAGCCCGGGCTGAGCCTGTGGGTTGTCAGCTTTGAGAGGGGAGGGGACATGTTGCCTGCTGGCCACCACTGAGCAGGGTAGAATTCAGACTCTGCTACTTTCTAGTTTTGAGAGCTTGCTCGGCCTCTGAGCCTTAGTTTCCTTATCCGGAGAGTGCTCTGCCCCACCTCTCAGGGTTCCGGGGAGAGTTAGATGGATTCTGCTATGTGGTGGGCTTAGCTTGGACCACCTCCTACTGTCAGCTCGGGGTCTGGGTGCCATCAGGACTGTGCCCGAGCTGATGCCTTTGCCCGGCCCAGGCGCGGTTGACCTGCCCCTGCTGTAACACCCGCAAGAAGGATGCAGTCCTTACCAAGTGCTTCCACGTTTTCTGCTTCGAGTGCGTGCGGGGCCGCTATGAGGCCCGCCAGAGGAAGTGCCCCAAGTGCAACGCGGCCTTTGGTGCCCACGACTTCCATCGCGTCTACATCAGCTGAACCCGTAACTCAGGGGACTTTGGAACACCCACGGACCCTGGGGGCTGTGCCTCCAGTCCCTCCCTACCCCATGTTCAGTGGCCCCTACCCTCCATTCCAGACCCTGTGGGCCCAGCCCCTGTCCACCTAGTCGGTTTGGGGGTCCCAGTGCGTGCTAGTGGGGGTGAGATCCGTCAAGCTTAGTTCCATCTTTCCCCCCCAGTCAGAGCTGTAGCCTAAGGGGCACCTGCCCTGCAGGAAGGGTCTGCTCTGAGCAGAGCACTCAGCTGAGCTTCCTGGAAGCTGGCCCTAACCCTTCGCCACAGGCTGACTCCTAGGCAGCTGTCTCCATGGGCCTATCCTAGTCCAAAGGGTGAAATCCCTCAGGCCGTGACCCCCTACCCAAGAGGAGGTTCATTCACTACCTGCTTACCCACAAGTGAGGACCAAGGGTGGGCCAGTTTCCCCAGCCCCTTAACTCTGGGGCCCAGGGAGACTCTCTAAGCTTGGGTGGGGCTTCCCTCCTGTGGAGTTCCCTGGGCTCTTTGGTCTGGCTCTTATGCCAAGGACTGAAGGAGGTACCCCCTGGGTGGGGGGCTGTCCTCCTCTTCTGGGAAACTTTGGCTGCTGCAGTCACCTTGCCCTCATCTCAGGAGTGCTGAACCAAGATCATCAGTCTCTATTCTAATCAGCCTCCCCACCTCCATCTCTTTCTTTCCCAAGCCCATTTACCCCACCCCCCACCTCGTGCTTCCCAAGACTCCACTGGGTCCCCAGCCCGGACCCTGCTTTCATCCTGATGGCCTTAACTGCAGTGGAGGCGGAATTTCCCAGGAGGGGAAGGGACAGACTAGCGGCTGGGCCAACTTCCAATCATTCCAGGTAGAGGAGCTTCATCTAACACCCTGTGACTGAGCCTGTCCCCAAGATGCTTCCTGTGCTGCCTGCCCAAGCAAACTCCCATGGGTTGTGAAGGCCGCAGGCAGGGGTCTGGAAGGTGGAGCTGCTGACAGGTGCAAGGGTCCATTCAGACCCATAGGCCCTGCTCTAGAGATGTCTTGTATAGGCTGTTAATTGTTATGAATAAACGTCCAACCCTCAGCCTACACTCCGAGTAGCCAGGCTTCCTGCCCTAAACGTGGTCCCAGATTTTAGCTGCTACACTTCTCCCGTCGCTGCCCTGGCTGGCATGTGAACCCCCGAGGGCCCGCGCAGAAACCTCACCCTTCCCACCCCCAACATTTAGTTACATTTGGATCTAACTGCCGTCTCGGATCCCAGACTGTGCTCGTGGGTGGAGCATGTCTGCAGGGAGAAAGCATCCTTCGCCCACCGTCACCAGCCTCCCCCTCCTGCTCCCACCCGGTCAGGCTGACCCTCCGCGGAGCCCGGCACCCCTGCCGGCTTCCTCCGCGCGGGCTCGCCACGCCCCTCGCAGTCATTGGCCGCAGGGATGCTGGGAGCCTCGTGTTGGGTTCCGGGAAATGTAGTCCCTTGTTAGCCCCTGGCAACAAGGTCCTAGGTGGGGTCGGCTGGTTCCCGGGTTGTGACGGCCAAAGGCAGGTCTGGACCCAATCTGCGGACTGTCCCTTCCCACCGGCTTCACCTGCCCCTCCCCCCGCGGGCGGACAGATTAGAGCAGCGCAGCGGGTGACTTCTTTCATTGCAACTGTGTTCTCGGGAACCGCGTGTCGAGTGGTGTCTGTGGGTTCAATTTGCTATCGGGTCCGCGGGCAGAGCCTTCGCTGCAGCGGTGACGGGGCTCGCGCCGGGGCCGGTACTGACCGGGCTAGGGGCCGGAGTCGGACGCATGGTTGTGGCGGCCGCAGGTTTGGCAGCAGTCGCGCCTTCGCGGGGCCCCGCGGCCTTTTCGACGGTCGCTCCTTCGCGGAGGCTCGCGGCGTTGTCCGCCTTCGGGCCCCACCTGGCGTCCAGGGTTTCGGCGGGGTTGCAGCGGCTGGACCAGGTCGGAGTGGAGACGGAGACGCGGGCCACGGTGACTTCCGGCGCTGGGCTGGCCGCGGTGGGCACGCTCGCCGAGACTCGGGCCGCGGCGGGCGATGGCATCGGGCCGTCGAGGAAGAGTCTGCCACCCAAGGCTGGGAAAAACGCAGCATATTGCATCACAGAGACGCGAGCAGGCTCTGAGAGGAGGGCCGCGCCCGGAGCAGTCAGGGTCAGCCAATCTTCAGTGAGCACTGTCCTCTTTCTCAGCAGTCTTCTCCACACAGGCTCTTTCAGTAAATATTAGTAACTACACATCGCCTCCCTAGATGTCTCTGTTTGGCCAGTCTCCGTAGCCAAGAGAAGTAAAAACTCCTGTCTAGAAGGCAATCAAACCACTTTCTCAAGCTCAAGGGCAGGGGATACAGATGCCAGAATTTATGGGAGGCTGTGCCTTAGGGGCTGGTCAGGTCCCTTCACTCAGAAAGTTTGACCCCTGACAACCCCCAGTAGCCCCAAGTGGCCTCAGGGGCTGTGATACCCTGGGCCCCTAGGATGGGCAGGCCAAAGTTCCTCCTGGACCAGCCCTGACCTTAGCTGGCCTTGGGGGTGTGCAGATGTTGGCGTCATGGTGAAGGTGCCTGTTTTAGCCAGAACTAGGGCTACTGTGTGGTTGGCCACAGAGTCCAGTGGAGCATTTGACATTGACCACTCTCTTTAAAACTTCCTTGGACTGTGGTGCTACACTCTCCTGATTGTTCTCATACTATCTTCTGCTGGCCCTGTTCCTCCAATCCTAAGCTACACCCTCTCCTTTCTTCTCCACTACTCTCCCTGTGTCCTTATCCATGGCTTTGGCTACAGCTAAGCTGCTAAGATCCAATTCTCTAGTCCAGTTCTCCATCCTGAGTTCCAGACCTACAAAAACACTACCATGGGACGGGGGGGGGGGGGGGGGGGGGGGGGGGGGGGGGGGTGCGCGCGCAAGGTTGTCACTCTCCTCCCGGTGGTGCTCTACCCCCAGGTTCCTCAGACAAGATGCCCCACACTTTGGCTTCTGTTCTTTACCTGACCTCAGTCTCTACTCAGTGCTCTGCTGCCCACCCCGTGTAATGTTATGTACTTTGTATCCCCCACCCCATTCCTGGCTCCTGCCCTCTGCCTCAGGTCACTTTCTCCGGCCAGTTTCCTGACCCTCTGCTGTGGCAGGGACCACATCTGGGTCCACAGCCTTTTCTGCTAAGTCCCTGAACCAATCACTGTGCTCCAGTGCCTGTTCTTTCCCCGAAGTCCCCTCACTTCACTGAAGACTCCTGCACTGGGACCAGGACAGCGGACACAGAAGGCAGGATAGCCTTCGCTGCTCACCTCCCCGGGAAAGGCAAGTCCCTTCTCCCTTACCCACCACCCCACTCCCTGCTTTCCAGATGGGGAAGGGGAGGGAGAGACAGCGAGCCTGCCCTGGGAGTCTAGGCCAGGGAGGCACAGAGAGAGGGGAGAGAAAGCTTCCCGGCCGGGACAGAGGCAGGCTACAGGTTAGAGCAAGTGTGGATCTCAAGTGGCTGTTCAGGGGGCCATGGCCAGGCCTAGGCCCAGGAGATGGCACTGAGGCAAGCCTGGCACTGAGGATTCAGCAAGAGCAGCCCTGCCTGGCCAGACAGTGTGGAGCCCAGGGCAGGCCCAGGCAGGCCCAGTGCTGGGGGAGGAGAGGTTTGGCTGGGTGCAGAGCCTGCTCCCGGCCGTTCTGGTTCCCCTCACTGCCTTCCTGTGGATCTTGTGCAAGTGGCTGCCCTTCTCCGAGCCTCTCCACACAGTAAAGGCTTATGGGCTGCCTCCTGTGGTGAGATCTCCACCCATGCTTCCTCAGGGTCTAGGAGGCTCTGGTCCAGCGGTGGGCTGACTGGGCCCCAGATGAACCAGGGGAGGTGCCACCAGCTTTTGGAACTAGATCTTCGGAGCTTTCCCTTGTGGCAGCCTGGGGAGAGTGCAGTTGTGGGGTGGTCAGAGAGGCCTCCCTAGGCCCGCACGGCTGGACCGGAGCCAGCCAGCGCCAGAATCACCGGGCAGCCACCCAGGAGTCAGCAGGTCATGCTGGTGGCAAAAGCCAGGCACCAGTTAAGACCTTGGCTCTGCCACCATCTCAGCGCGTTTCTCCCCCTTTCTCTGAAGGACGTGGATTTTAACAATCCATAAACCCTCGGGCTCCTACCCGCAAGCACTGGTCGGGGATTTGAGGGCATCTGAGCGAAGAGTATAACGGGAGCCTGGGCCCGGCTGAGCTTTGGAGGTGACACACAGACCCTGGCTCTGGGAGAGGACAAGCTCCTTCAGCTTGCTCCAGGCTTGAAAGAGAAGACAGAAAACATCTGGGAAATCTTACTCCCTTTATTCTCTTCAACTAATCAACGTGACCACCAGTGACACAACACTTATTGACACACAACACTCAAAAGTGGGGCCTCTCTTCACTCCACAGGGACAAGTCAGGTTGAGTGGGGTTTCCCTAATGGGGGCAAAGGGGTCTGGGGGCTGCTCCCCTCAGGAGCGGGTGTCATGGAATCCCACCTCTTGGTTGTGATGGTTTCAAGTTTCCCCACCATTCAGGATTCATGCCCAGCTCTGTCGAGTTCCCATGTGACCTCCAGAGCCATAGAGGTTTCCAGCTGCACCCTAAGCTCAGATCAGTGTCTACTCTCCCCTCTGCTTTCACCGATGACCCTGTGACCGGTCTGTTGAGCTCCTCCACCAGGGCACTTCTGAAGTCAGGCCTGCGTGGAGCTGGACAAGAGGGTTTGGCTACACTGTGCCTTCTGGACTAAGTTCTGGTGGGCACGTGCCATGACCATCCCCTGGGCCTTTGCCTAAGCTGGTCAGAGGGACTCTGGACACTGCCACCTCCCCAAGCCAGATCCCTGCTTAGTACCTCCCAAGATGTAGCTCGCTCTGGGAGGGAAGCACCCGGGTAAAGAAGTTTGGGGAGGTGGGCAAGAGAACAGGTCACGCCCCAAAGGTCTCCGATTCTGCCCCTTTCCTGCTACGAAACCCCAGACCCCGACTAAGCATGTCCACATCATCCATTCAGTACCGGAGCCAAGACTGCTGGCCCTCACCCATCCCTACACATGCGAGCATCCTACTACATATGCTACACCCTAGTCCTCAATAGGCCGACGGCTGGCCTTTGACCACACTGACCACCTCCCCCCCGCCCTGGACTGGCCCCGGAGCCCCAAAGGCTGCTCTCTGGGACTTTTCTGAAGACAGATTCCTCCGACCTGTTTCCGAGGGGAACTGTTTCTAGCTTTACAAGGGGTTTGTCTCTACAACTGGTTTCTTTCTACTACCATCTTAGAAAAAATCTGCTTTGACGTGGAGGATTGTCTCCTCTTCCTCAGTCTCCTAGGGACACTCCCTCTGTTGACGCTTCTGTCAGTAGAGATCCGGCAGGCAGGCTCCTTCTCCCCTCTCAGTAGTGCTTTCTGACCGGGCACTTGGGTGGGCTGGGGCTTTTATGCAGATGATGACGAGGGTCTCCCCACAATAGCCAAGGCCTGCCTTTTCCTTCTCCCCAGCAGGCCCGGGCTTTTCCTCCTACAGTGTTCTAGATTTTGATCCTTTGAATTTAAGGTCATCCCTTTGGGGGCAGGAGAGATGAAAGGTGAAGGGCTTTCAGCTTTCAAATCATGGAATTAGAGGTCTCTTCCACAGCTCTGAGGAATCTGGGTCGCCCTCTCCAGGGGTGCGACTCCTGAAGGGCCCCTCACCCGGCATCTCAGTTCTCAGACTCGAGGACCAAGGTGTACAGCCGGTGCGTGGGGTCCATGGGCACTTCTTTGGACCCAGCACTGGATGGAGTCCTCTCCTTCTTTAAGCGTCTCCCGGGTTAGGGGGTGGGGTTCTTGTTACAGGTGTTGTGCGAGTTTCCACTCAACCATTTCCTAGGGCAGCAGTCTCTCTCCCCCCTGCCACACACACCCAGTCATGTTAGCAGGTTTGGCTGGGTTAATGAAAGAGTGTTACCATGTGGTGTGTGAGGACAGGAGATGGGCCTGGCAGGGGAATGGGTTTCTCATCTTTCCATTGCTCTCTGAAGGTTTCTGGCTAAGGAGGAGAGGAGCCAAGTGGGTGGGATCTGTCCCCTCCCAAGGCCATGATTGGGCTGGGTCATCACCACCTCGGAGCGCTCCAAGTACCAGGGTGAGGAAGGTGGCCAGGCCTCCAGATGCTCTTCAGGGACCCATGGCCCAGTCTGTGGGGTGTCTGGATGCCCCCCACTACGTGCCGGCTGGCTCAGCCCGCCAGCAGCCTGGCTAACAGCTCAGATGAAAGAGTGAGGTTGAAAAAGCGGGTTGCTGGCTAATCAGAGCGCTCTATTCTGTCGACTTGCTGTCCCTCGTTGCCACAGAGAACCCACACGTGGCTCTCGTTGACTTGGAGAAGAGAAGTCTAGGGAGGATTTAACCACACACAGGCCTTGAGTCTCTGAAGGGCTTTATTCTTTGGAGGTCGACTAGCAGCGGTTACCCCTCTCCACTGAGGACAGAATTCGAGGAGGTGAGCTGCCACGGCAGCAAGACTGGTGGCAGTTAGATTGCAGGAGACACCTCCTGACAGTGAGACCTGAGAATGGGCAGGAGGGACCCTGCAGCCCTGGAGGCCTCTCAGAGTAGAAGTCCCCTGTCCTGCCTGGCTGGGGGGAGCCCTGACGGCCTGAGCCGGGATCTGCTTGCACTTGCAGCTTAACAAGCTCCCGGAAACGGGGAGGACTGGGCAGCCCCGAGTTTGCTGGGTTCCATCTGGACACGGCTTCACCTTGGTTTGCTTTCCTCAAAGCACTCTAACAGAAATCCCTCCCTGCCCCCTAATTTTTTGTGATGGTTCCCCAGTATTTAGAAGTTTCTATGCACCCCAAACTTCAGCCTTTAAAAAGGCTCGACCTCGCTTTTTCTTTTTCCTTCCCCATTTTTGGGTTCTTCCTCCTAAGGAATCCCGTGGGCCTCTTCCTCTAACACGCAATCACCTAAGATCGGCCTCATCCCCCAAGGAACCCCCAGGGCAGCAAGCTGAACTTTCTCTTCCTAGTTCCCTGGGTCTTTTCTTCTCTGTGGGCCTGGGGGCTCCTCATCACTTATTTTTCACCTCTCCCCACACTAGTCCCCAGCTGAGCATTTTCCTCAATGTCATTGTCCAAGGCTTCTGGGAGAGAGGCTCCCTCTGAACTCCAGGGGGAGAGAACACTGCGGAACAAGTTCATGGAAGGCTCTTCTACACCTTCTGAGGGTCACTCCTCTCGAGTCAATGCCATTGGATTCCCTGCACTTCCCCGACCCTATAGTTTCACAAGGATTTTGATACAGTTTTATAGGGTTGTCTAGAGACGTATTGGGACCTCTTCCTACAATTAATAGGGCTTTTATCCACTATGGTTTATAGGGTTTTTCTGCTACAGACTTAAAGGACTTTTTTTTTTCCTACATATTTATAGGGTTTCTAACCCAACAGTTTTTCTCTACTGCCTTATTAAGTGGTTCCCACCAACAATTTTATAGGGTTTCTCCATCACTGATGTAAAAGCACTATTTTTACCCAGGGTTCTTTATCCTCCGCTTCTCTACAACCTGATAGGGTTCTCCTCCTTTCCCCATATGATTTTTGGGGAGCTCCAGTGTTCCTCTCAGGAGAGAGAGGCCCCTGGTCTCCAGACCCATTTCACAAGGTGACCCCTGGGTGGCAGCTCCTATGGAGGAGGAGGGCTGCGACTTCCGTGAAGCCGTCTCCACACTCAGGGCACAAATAGGGCTTTTCTTCCAAGAGGGTCTTGGGGTTCTCCCCGTCCCCGTGGCTGCTGCCCCCCGTAGGGGTGGGGGCCTCTCCCTCCCCTTCCTGGCTTGTGGACAGGGTGGCTGGCTCTGCAGGGGGTTCCTCAGGGGTGGGGGACTTTTCTTGGGTGTGGGTCTCTTGGTGCCGGGCGAGTGCCAGGTGATCGAGAAAGGAGGCCCCACAATCTGAGCAGCTGTAGGGCCTGGCCCCCAGGGGGCTCCTGAGGTGCTCCAGGAGGACCGAGGAGCTCTTCCCCAGCTCCGGACTCTTCTGGGGTTTCCCAGCTGCATGGACTTTCTGGTGCAGCAGCAGCTCAGAGCTGAGGCCAAAGCTTTTTTTGCATTCAGGGCATTTAAAGGGCTTCCCACTTAGGAAGGGACTGGGCCCAGCACCTTCCCCTAGACCAATCCTATAGTCAGGGAAGAGAAAGGGCTTTTCGTTGCCGTGGGTGAGCTGATGTTGGAGGAGCACAGCGCGATCCAGAAAACTTTCTCCACAGTGGGAACAAATGTAGGACTTGGAAGAGAGCAGGCCCAGCCTTTGGCTGAAGCTCTCCTGCCCCTCGGGCATTTTAAAGGGCTGTCCTGGGGGTTCAGCTCTGCCCTCCGCAGCCCCTGGGTACGAATTGCCTCCGAAGGGGAGCCTGGGGGGTCGGAACTGAGGCGCCTTGGGGGCCGGGTGAGCGATGAGGCCGTCTGCGTTTTTGTAGGGGTTTTCGCCGATATGGATCCGCTGATGCTGCATGAAAATGCCCTCGTCATTGAAGCCCTTTCCGCAGACAAGACACTTGTGTGGTTTGGCTCCCGGGGGTGGCGTCAGCAGGGCGGAGTCGCCCAGCCCCAGCAGGCTGTCGCCCTGAGCTCTGCGGGCTGGGGTCTTGCCCCTTTCGTGGACCACCCGATGCTGCTCCAGCTCGTGCGCCTCCAGGAAGGCCTTCCCGCAGTCGGAGCACACGAACAGGTTCTCGTCCATGTGGGTGCGCACGTGGGTGATGAGGTTGGAGCTCTGGCTGAAGCTCTTGCCGCACTCGGGGCACTTGTAGGGCTTCTCGCCCGTGTGCGTGCGCCGGTGCTGGATGAGGTGGGAGCTGCGGATGAAGCTCTTGCCGCAGTCGGAGCACTTGTAGGGCTTCTCGCCCGTGTGGATGCGCTGGTGGCGGATGAGGGTGGAGCTCATGATGAAGCTCTTGCCGCAGTCGGCGCAGATGTAGGGCCGCTCGCCGCGGTGGATGCGCTGGTGGTTGATGAGGTTGGAGCTGACGCTGAAGCTCTTGCCGCACTCGGGGCACTTGTAGGGCCGCTCGCCCGTGTGCGTGCGCTGGTGCCGCAGCAGCGTGGCGCTCAGCGTGAACGTCTTGCCGCACACCGGGCACTTGAAGGGGTCCTCGCGCAGGTGAGTCCGCTGGTGTTTGATGAGGGTGGAGCTGTGGCCGAAGCTCTTGCCGCACTCCAGGCACTCGTAGGGCTTCTCGCCGGTGTGCGTGCGCTGGTGCTGGGTCAGCTCCGAGCTCTGGATGAAGCTCTTGCCGCACTCGGTGCAGCGGTACGGCTTCTCGCCGGCGTGGATCTTCTGGTGCTTGAGGAGGTTGTGGTTCTGGCCGAAGCGCTTGCCGCACTCGGCGCACTTGTAGGGCTTCTCGCCCGTGTGCGTGGCCTGGTGCTGGATGAGGTCCGAGCTGCGGTAGAAGGCGCGCCGGCACTCGCCGCACTTGTAGGGCTTCTCGCCCGTGTGCGAGCGCTGGTGCTTGATGAGGTTGGTGCTCTGCGTGAAGGCCTTCTCGCACTCGGTGCACTTGTAGGGCTTCTCGCCCGTGTGCGTGCGCTGGTGCTGCACCAGGTTGGAGCTCCAGCTGAAGCACTTGCCGCAGTCGGGGCACTTGTAGGGCTTCTCGCCCGTGTGCGTGCGCTGGTGCTGCACCAGGTGCGAGCTCTGCGTGAAGCTCTTGCCGCACTCGGAGCAGGTGTTGGGCCGCTCGCCCGTGTGGATGCGCTGGTGCCGCAGCAGCTTGGACCACTGGCTGAAGCTCTTGCCGCACTCGTTGCAGATGTAGGGCTTCTCGGCCCCGGAAGGGCGGCCCTGCACCAGCTCCCGCAGGCTGGGCTCGTTGGCCGGCACCACCGGGGGGCTGTTCCACGGGGTCAGAGTCCCCCACTGCCAGCTGGCCTCACAGGCCTTGGTCCAGTCAGACGGGGTAGGGACTACCTCGGGGGCGGGGGGATCCAGAGGGGTCTGGTGGTCCAAGGGGTTGGGGTGACCCACTGGGGTTGGGGAGTCCTGGGGGACTGAGGGATCCTGGGAGGGTCTCTCCAGGGGCATCTCTGATGGGTCCTTGAATTCTGGACTCGGAGCTGGATCTCCCAAGATGATCTCCTCCCCAGAACTTTCCTGCTGAGCGCTCTCCTCTTCATTCCCACTCTCGGCACCTACAGAGAGAAAGGGAGTCTCCAGCCCCCATCTCCTTTCAGAACACGGGGTTGGGTCTCTCTTCCCTCCCCTGGGTGTCCCCCAGAGTCTGAGCCCCTCCCTGAACTGGGGCCACTGTCTTGTCAGGACTGCAGTCCCTTCTTGTGCCCCTCACCTCTGTGAGCATCGTTGGGGCTCTGTTCAGGACCCTGCAGATCTGGGCCCCACAGCGCCGACTCAGGCTCCATCCCAGAGCTCAGGACTGCCCAGTGTTCCAGGGGCCCTGGCGGAGAGGGAGAAGAGAGGAACACACAATGGGAGCTGATCTGCCTTTCTTTACTCCCCAAGCCCCCACTCCTTCACCTGCCTTATTCCTCCTCATGTGAACTTCACTTTCCCACCTCCCCATTTTCCTGGGCATCAGTTCTCACCGTGGCCCCCCTACCCCTGCAGGCCTGATTCCTGCTCCAGATCTTAAGATCACAACTAAGCCAGTAGGTGAATTTAAGTGTGTAATTAAAAGCTCATCAGTCATAACCATTTGAACCCAGACTGGGGGCTAGAGAAGTATCTGACACCCACGGGGTAAGGAGGCTCTCACCCCACCCCTCTGATGCCCAGAGGCTGGGAAACCTGTTATTTTGCTAATCAGAGGAAGCTCATTAAGACTCTAATTTTCCTCCTTAATGGGGCTGCTAATTGGGACCAATAAACTTTCCTTATGAGCCCAGAGAACTGACAGTGCCTGGAACACTTGAAGAGTTAAAAAAAAAAAAGAGAGAGAGCGAAAGGAAAAAGAAAAAAAGAAAGCATGAAAGCAATCAGATTTCCCTGAGGGGATGGGGGCCCTCCAAAAGGACTGGGGCATTTTCCCGTTATCCAAGCACAGAAAGAAGTTCAAGCCAGAGGTGGGGCGGGGGGGGGGGGGGCAGTTTGAAGCCATGGGAGGCTTCTACAGAGACGACCTTGAGAGGGAAATGAAAAGGAAAAGGGAGAAGGGAAAAGTGTATGGAGACCGCCCAGCCGCTGACTTGGTGCTCGGTGCTCATGCTGTCCTCCTTATCTCTCCGGATCCTCCCCACAAGCCTGCAAGGGGAGCCAGGAGTCTGGCTGTCCATTTTACAGATCAGGAAATCAACACTCAGGGAGATTTCTCCAAGGTCACAGGCTGGGAAGTGGCAGAGCTAAGACCAGAAATGCAAGGTTCTGGGTCTGGCTCGCCCCAGCCTCTGCAAGGGAGATGACCTTGGGAATCACGTGAAACTCCTAAATGTGGACGGCTGGCAGGAGACGGGTGATGAGGAAAGCTCAGACAGAACCTGCTGGCCACGAGGCGGAGAAATTCCCAGGACCATCCGCTTTCCTTGGCTTGTTGCATCCAGTGACTAGGCCTGACAGTATGCGCGGATGACCTCAAAACGGTACTCCCCGCTGAAGCCCCCCATTAACACTCCCATCCCGGCACCCCTTCTTCTATTTCGTTTGTTGTTTTCTTGTTGCTATATCCCATGCCTAGGACAGTGCCTGACACATGAGAGGTGCCTTACACATTTTGTTGAATGAATGAAGGTGAATGAATGAGATGCCCCTCATTCCTGGAAAACCTATCTGGTCTGATGCCTTTAAAGGTCAGTTTGCAAGGGGTTGGCACCAAAGGAGCAGGCTTTCAGAGTGGCCTCCTGGTAAAACTTAGCTACAGCTAGCTATCACTCCAAAAAGGGTGATAGGATTCCAGCTTGAGGGAATAAGGTCTCCGGAGCTAAATTCTAGGTTTCCACGATGTTTAGAGCCTTAACAGAGTCCCTGGGGAGGGTCCGGGCTTCGAGCGGCTGTGTGGGAGGGGCACTGTGTGTATGGGGGCAGTGGTGCAGGAAGACATGGCCAAGACTCACGAGGAGGCAGCTGGGAGGCAACCGAAGTGAAGCAGGAGCGAGCTGAACCCTGCCAAGTAGCGGTAGGAGAGACGGGAGTTGGATTTTGGGAAGTAAACTAATTTCTTCATCTCTGCAGCTCTTTAGGCCATGAAATGCCCCCTCCCCCATCTGTAAGTGTCCTTGGAGCGGTGGGAGCAGGGGTCTCCGCCGCGCTGGGGGCTGCCTATTCTGAAGAGGCCTGCTGGGCTTGCCTAGGACAGGTAAGAGCTTATGTACCTTGATTGTCCCGAGAAATTCAAGCTCAGCGGTCCCGAGCAGAAGGGAAAGGGTTAAAGTCAAGGCCGCCATGGAGTAGGAAAGTGGGAGCACCGAGGGAGGCAAGAAGTGCTGGGAGCCCACCCAGGCACGGGCCCCGGGGCACCCGCCTTGGACCTCGGGCCGGGCCCACCGCGGAGGGAAGGAGGGAGGGAAGGACAGAAGGAGGAGGCTGCCTCGCAGAGAGGTGTGGAGAGCGGCCCAGGGTGACCCTGACATGGAGGCAGCTGCGGGAATGCAGCCGCCCGGGCCCCGGCCCCCTCCCCGGCCCCCCCCCCCCGCCCGCACCGGCGCAGACCCTGGACTTCTGCTCGGGCCGGTCCCCGCGACCCTCTTCCGGCTCCCGGGCCGGAGCCCCGCATCCTGGCCTCCCCCGCCCGCAGGGCCCCCAGGATTCCGGCGCTCCGCGGCGGCCCGGCCCCGCCGGCCGCCCAATTCCCTCTTCCCAGAATGCTCACGCCCTCCCTCCCCTCCCCCACAGCCAGACCCTCGCGCTCTTCCCAGAATCCTCGGCCCCTCGCGGCCCCTGCCCGGCCCCCACCCCACCGGCGCCCGGGGCGGGGAGGGGGCGCAGGCCCGCGCGCCCCCGCCTCCCGCGCCCCATTGTTCCCGGCGGCCGTCCCGGGCCCTCCGGGCCACCCCCCAGGAACCCAGGCGTCCCCAACTCACGGCTCTGGGGTCTGGGGAAGGCCGGAAGGCAGAATCCAGCCCCAGGGGACTTAACCCCTTGAATGCCCTGCCTCGGGGGGCGGGCTGGACGCCGAGGACTCTGGGGTCCTTCTCAAGGGGTGATCCCAGGCTGAGGACCCGGGGACCAGTTCAGGGTGACTGGGACGGAGCAGGAAGTGACCCCAGCTTCCCGGGCCCCTCTAGCCTGGAGTCAGAGCATCAGCTCTATGGGATTTAACCCTTTGCCTCCCGCAGCCTGGGAAAAAAAAGAGGATGGGGAGCGGGGAGGTGGCTGAGACGCCCCTCTGTCGGTCTCCCACGGGAGCGGGTCCTCGGGGGGAAGCCCAGATGCCAGTGGGGGGGTCTCTGGATTGCTGGCCACTCTCCATCTCAAAGGGGCTCTGCCAGCGGCAAGCCCGATCTCGGATTTGGTGGCTGCTCGTCCCCTGGGGCCTGCCTTTGTTGGGACTCAGACCCAGGGATGGGGCTCAGATGCCTGGGTCGTGGGGTGGGAGCGGGGACTGGCTGGGCAGGTGCTGAGAGGGAACATCCTACAGACTGAGAATGGCTTAAATGAAGTAATAAGTCCTGGCAGCCAGAGTTTGGGCTGAGGGGACCAGTGCAGCCAGGATGGATTTGTAGCTCGCTTCTTCCCCCGTTAGCTCTCCTCAGAGCTGCCATGGTGGCAGGAGGGAAGTCGGGATGGGGGGGGGGGGGTGTTCCCTGACCAGGGAGGGCCGTTCCCAGCAGCTCAGGGGGTACCTGGCTCATAGCAGGAGAAACCCTTAAAATCCTGAGAACGCTGTCTCCTTCACCCAGCTTCCCAGCCAGGCGCATCCCTGTCTTATCTCTGGCTCCCATCACCTTTGACACCTCACTCTCACCTCGGGGCCTTTGTCCCTCCTGCTGTCCCTTTTTCTGCTCTGTTTCTCACAGCATCAACTCCTGACTGAACATGTGCATGTTTGCCGTCCGTCTGTCTATACCCATGCCTTCCTCGCGTGCACACGCACACCTTAATGTCTGCGCCTCTTGGACTCACTGCTGTCTCCCCAGCTCCTGGAACAGATTGGCATGTAGTAGGTGCTCAGTTCACACAGTGTAGGGGATGAAGTCATCCTCCTGCCTCATCCATCCATTTCTGGATCAACCCCCAGGCGGGACAGATGTGGCAAAGTTGGGCAAAGCTGGGCTCTGGCTGCGTAATCACATTCATGGTTCAGACAGCCTCGCTGTCCACCCCTCACTCTGAGGGACAGATGAGGAAGAGGCGGACTTGGGATCTGATCCGTGCTCACTACTGTCTCCTCCCTGCAACGGTTGCAAAAGCCTAACCTGGCCTGGGGGCAGTAAGTGTGGGGCGGGTGGGGGGGGGGGACTAGATGGAATCTGCACCCTGGAGGCTGACAAAAGAGTTTCATTTGACCTACACCCTTTTTGGTGGCAGCGGTGGTGGTGGTGGGTGTGTGTGTGTGTGTTGAGCCGAATTAATCGCCACCTTTAAAAATCAGTACATTTCACATACAAATCCAAATTTCCCACTTCTTTGGAAAATCCAAAGATGTGGCAGCAAGACCCAAATTTTCCCATGGCAGCCACTGGCTGGGCTGTAGCTTCCTTCCTTACAAGGCCACTGGCTTTCCAGTGTGCCAGACCCTGTCACCCTATTGTGTCTCCAACCCTGAGGCTGAGAGGTGGTTCCAGTGTATCTGTGATCATCCACTCTGGGTGGTCCAACACCCAGTTAATGGTAGGTACTGATTCTGTACCCCTTGGTGTGTCCCCCAGGTTCAGAGTAACAAGTATGAGGATGATGTCTTCTGAGTAGTTAGATTTATTGAATATTTACTCTGTGCCAGACGCTATTCCAAGGGCTCCATGGACCTTCACGACAACTCACGGAACCGATGTTACCATCCCGAGGATAGAGTAAGTCACTTGTACACAGCTAACTAGTGACGGAGCTGGATTCAAATCCAGACCTCCTGCCTTCAGAGCCACACGGCTCCTAAGCACAATTCTCAGAACGGCTCATGTGTGTCTGAGGGGCAGAGAGAGCGCCGCTCAGCCCCGCCATCCTCTCCCTCATCTTGCTCCAGGAGCTGGAGAGAGGAATGGGCAAAGGTGGAGGGCCCCTGCTCAGGCCGAGCCATTCTCCAGCAATGGTTTGCTTGTCCTGCTCCTGGAGAAACAAAGGGCGCCCTGACTGACTGTAGGTGAGAGCGTGCTGTCCTGTTGCCTACAGTCAGATGGCACGGTGGCCAGAAAGGAGACCCTCCTGGAAAGATGAGGACTGTCCCCCCTTTGGCTTTCACGGACAGCCCACCGCCATGCTCTTCTCGGCCACCGCACAGCAGCCTTCCACGTGGCCCCTTAACGCAGACCCTTGTGTCCCGAGACCCAGGTTGTGTGAGAGCAGTGAGGTCCTAGAGGTGGACCCTGGTCCGGACCCTGCTCTGTCCTCACTGCTCAGTGGTCTTGGGCAACTCGCTTTGCCTCTTGGAGATTTGGCTGCTTCTTTGGAAAGGGGATGAGCCTTGGTTCCCAAAGAGACAGAAGGGTTAAATGAGATGATATGGAAGTTCAGAGTGGACCAACTCTAGCCAGGGTTGCCTCATTCTCATCAGAGCACACAGCCCTCAGCCTGGTGGGCAGGAGAGCCAGGAGCCTGGAAACCATGTCCCGAGAGACACAGGGAGTGTGTAACTTGGGAGGACCTGGTGCCATGACTTGAGACTCCAACCCTCTGCTCTGTGGGGGACGCTCTCAGGCAGGATGCAAGAGCTGAGAAGGTGCAGCCTGGGAAGGCTGCTTACCTCCCCACCCTTCTCACGAGGACAGCTGCCTACCGACAGGCGAGGGGAGGGAGATGCGGGGCAGGGGGGGAGGGGTCCTGCTGGTGCCAGGAGGACAGGATGGGCCTTCTTCCCTGGAGATGTGCATGCCCACAGGGTGTATTAGGGGCTGCTTTTTAGGAATGTGGTCCTCAAATGTGGAACAAGAGCAGGGTCCCAGCACTGGGAGATCCTTTCTGCCTCTGAGAATCCAGGATGAGTCACTCCTCTGCTCAAGAACCTACGGTGGCTCCCTAAGACTTCTCACATTGAGTCCTACCCTCCTGGTGCCTCCTAACCACCGTGTCCTTAAGGCTCAGAGCCACGTCCTTCCTTTACATTCCCTTCCTCAAACATTTCCTGCTCCATGTGCTCAGTTCCAAAAATCCTTCCATGTCAGCTGCTTAGCCTTGTCCCTGTCCTTGAGGCCTTGTTCTTTCTGTCCATTTGTCTAACAGACCTGTCCACATCACAGTCATCCAGGCTCACCAGCTCCATTTCTCTCCATGATACCTAGTCATCCTGCTCCCCAAGGCCTGAAGGGCCCTCCTCTGCACCACATTTGTCAGTAGGTCCTCAGGCCTATGGCACCCCTGCCGAGTCTGCCCACCTCTTCGCCCTGCCCCAGGCCACTGTCACACCCTGGTTCTCATCCCTGAATGACCACAGTGACTTTCTGACAGGTTCTCCGGCCTCTAGCCCCCTTGGCTTCTTCCCACCTATCTGGTCCCCCATGATTCTTCCAAAAAGCACCAGTGTGTTCACCCTCAGAACACCTCCTCCATCCTCATCATCAATAGAGAAGTTTTTCTTGTTTGTTTTGTTTTTTAATTTTTGAAAACTAAGAACTTTTATATGTTTATATTTTGACTGTAACTTTGATTAAGCTATAGAAAGCCACGGGGCACCTGGGTGGCGCAGCCAGTTAAGTGTCTGCCTTCAGCTCAGGTCATGATCCCAGGGTCCGGGGATCGAGCCCCACATCGTGCTTCTCCCTCTCCCCTCCCCCTGCTTGTGCTCTCTCTAGCTATCTCTCTCTCTCTGTGTCAAATAAATAAATAAATAAAATTTTTAAAAAAAGAAAGCCACATATATAATTGGGTAAATAATGTTATATATTAAGGAAATGTAGATATGTATAATTTAAATAAAAATAAAAGTAAATATGGCGTCGGGGCACCTGGGTGGCTCAGTTGGTAGAGCATGCGACTCTTGATCTCAGGGTCATGAGTTTAAGCCCCACGTTGGGCATGGAGTCTACTTAAAAAAAAAATAAAACATTGGGAGCCTGGGTGGCTCAGTCGTTGGGCGTCTGCCTTCGGCTCAGGTCATGATCCCGGGATCCTGGGATCGAGTCCCGCATCGGGCTCCCTGCTCGGCGGGAGGCCTGCTTCTCCCTCCCCCACTCCCCGTGCTTGTGTTCCCTCTTTCGCTGTGTCTCTCTCTGTCAAATAAATAAATAAAATCTTTAAAAAATAAAAAAATCTTTAAAAAATAAAAAAAAAAAAACATAAAACATAAAAGTAAATAAAATATATGTATACTGTTTTGTTACCAAGTATTTGCATGAAGGTGTGAACTGAAATAGCTCTAGTCATCACGTTTCTGGGCCCCAGTCACCTCACCTACAAAACAATATGTCAGATCAAATGTTCTCAACAGTAAGGGTCTGGCCATATGGAAAACTTTTCTGTATATTTGACTATTTGGGGAGGGTACATAAGTGCCTGGAAAGGACAGTGGCTTCTGGGGAGAAGGACGGAGGATCTGAGATAAGAGGAAGGCTTAACTTTGGATTCTTTGGTTCTGTTTGATGATTTCCAATTTGTAAAAATCACTTTCTAAACGGTAAATATTTAGAGTATAAGGATGGAGTGGAGATCAACAGCACGTTGATTTCCTTTTCAGGTTTGTCCTGATCCAAGTCACATTAAATCATATTCAACTGATTTCCTACCCATATGTGACACGTGGAGTAACCTTAGAGAGAGGTCCCCATTGCCCCTGGAACAGATGCTCTACGGCGGCCTAAGCATGGAAAAGGAGATTGAAGACAGATGGAAGAGAAGATTATATTGTCAGACACGGTTACGGTACTTAAAAATAAAAAAAGAATCAGTAAGCTCCCAGACACTTGGAGCCTGATTTGCACCATTGCCACACCCCAAGGACCCCAAGGACTTGTGGCTGGAGAAGTGTAAACACCAGACAGAGCACCAGGTCCTGTCTGAAACCAGCCTTTTGGCCTCCCACTCAGTGTCCCCTAAGGTAATCCCCACTGTCATGAAGGCCAAAGGCGCCAGCCCCACCCTCCCCCAACGCAAACTGTCCTGTTCCTCGGGCCTTTCACCAAGCGGCTCCCTATGCCTCCTCTAGAATGCTTCCCTGTCTCCTCTCCACACAGGCAAATCTTGTCTGCTTTCAGGGTCCTGTTCAAATGCCAGCCAACTTAAGTCTAGGCCCTGATATTCACCCCCATTGAGTAAGTGTCTTAAAACATATACTTTCATTCACATTAAGGCATTTGTGTCTCTTGATACAAGGCAGTTATCCTCACCCTTTACTCCTGAGGAAACAGGACTTCGGATAGGTTACATGTTCGGGTCACAGAGCAACTGTGAGAACCTGGGATCTGTGGGACTTGGATTTGCTGACTGCAGGTCAGAAATCCTTCAGAATCCCGCTAAATCCTACCCCTCCCCTCCCAGAAGACATTGTCTCCTAGAGAACCGCCCTCCCCTTTTGTCACAATCTGACTGCAGGGATTTCTATGTTTTACTCGCCATCTTGGCCACATCTGGGTACCCTCAATAGTGTTGATATTTTTCTTCAGTGCATTTTTCTTCACAGAAAGAAGCATATCTGAGAAGGAAACTAAATGTCAGTGTGATAAATTAAAAATTGCTTGTTACTGGGGTGCCGGGCTGGCTCAGTCAGAAGAGCATCCAATTCTTGATCTCAGGGTTGTGAATTTGAGCCCCACATTGGGTGTAGAGATTACTTAAACAAATAAGACTTTAAAAATAAGAAAATTGCTAGTTATAAGTGTAAAAATAAATACAAGGCAAAAGTAACTCTAAATGGTTCAAAGACCTAACACTATAAACTTTTAGAAGAAAACTTAGGGGTAAATCTTCATGACCTTGGATTTGGCAATGGTTTCTTAGATATAATACCAAAAATACAAGCAACAAAAGAAAAAAAATAGGTAAATTGGACTTCATCAAATTAAAAAACTTTTGTAGGGCGCCTGGGTGGCTCAGTTGGTTAAGCGACTGCCTTCGGCTCAGGTCATGATCCTGGAGTCCCTGGATCGAGTCCCGCATCGGGCTCCCTGCTCGGCAGGGAGTCTGCTTCTCCCTCTGACCCTCCCCCATCTCATGCTCTCTCTATCTCATTCTCTCTCTCAAATAAATAAATAAAATCTTTAAAAAAAAAACCAAAAAACTTTTGTACATCAAAGGAAACTGTCAAGAAAGTAAAGACAACCACAGAATGGGAGAAGAAACTTTAGCAAACCATGTATCTGATAAAGCACTAGTACCCAGCATATATAAAAAACTGTAGGGGCGCCCGGGTGGTTCAGTCGGCTAAGGGTCCGATTTTTTATTTTGGCCCAGGTCATGATCTCAGGGTTGTGAGATGAAGCCCCAGGTCGAGCTCCCCACTCAGCGTGGATCCTGCTTAAGGTGCCTGGGTGGCTCAGTCGTTAAGCGTCTGCCTTCGGCTCAGGTCGTGATCTCAGGGTCCTGGGATCGAGCCCCACATGGGGGTCCCTGCTCTGCGGGAAGCCTGCTTCTCCCTCTCCCACTCCCCCTGCTTGTGTTCCCTCTCTCGCTGTGTCTCTCTCTGTCAAATAAATAAATATAATCTTTAAAAAAAAAAAGATTCTCTCTTTCCTTTTCCCTCTGCCCCTCCCCCCTTAAAAAAAAGGAACTGTAACCACTCAACAATAAACACAACCAACCCAATTAAAAAATGGGCAAAGGACTTGGACGGTTCTCCAGAGAAGATCTATAGATGGCCAACAAACACCTGAAAAGATGCTCATCATCACTGGCCATGAGGGATATGCAAATCAAAACCCTAGTGAGATCCCACTTTGCACCCACAGGGGCAGTTATAATACTTTCTAAAAACCTGAGAGTAACCAGTGTTGGTGAGGATGTGGAGAAATTGCAACCTTCATACACTGCTGGTGGGAGACCCTGAGATCATGACCTGAGCTGAAGGCAGAAGCTTAACCGACTGAGCCACCCAGGCGCCCTGAACCTTGAAAACATTGTTAAATGCAAGGAACTAGATATGCAGGGCTGCATATTTTATGATTTTGTTTATATGAAGTATCCAGAACAGGTGAATCCAGAGAGACAGAAAGCAGATGAATGGTTGCTGGGGGCTGGGGGGAGGGAGGAATGGGGAGTGACATCTTAATGGGTACAAGACTTCCACTGCGGTGATGAGAGTGTTCTGGAACTAGAGAGGGGCGATGGCTGCACATCACTGTAAATGTGCTAGATGTCACTGAATTATATACTTCAAAATGGTTGAAATTATTAATGTTATGTGAATTTTACAATAAAAACTTCAGTCAGAGGCGCCTGGATGGCTCAATGGGTTAAGCGTCTGCCTTCAGCTCAGGTCATGATCCCAGGGGGCCTGGGATCGAGCCCCCTCCTCGGAGTCCTTGCTCAGGGGGGAGTCCGCTTCTCCCTCTGCCCCTCCCCGCCCTGCTTGTGCTCAATCTCTCTCTCAAATAAATAAAATCTTTAAAAAAATTCAACCAATATTAAATTATGTTAATAAATGCCATTGATATATTATTGCACAATTAGGTGAAGACTCTGGGTCTAAGGGGCTCATTTTTTGTGTATGTGAGGAGGAGTGACAGAGAGACACAGCAAGCGTTTAGAGGTGATTAAGGCCTCGCACCAACCTGAAGACTCTCCCCTGGGTGGACTCAGAGGGTTCTCCTGGGAAGGGGAACAGGAAGGACCACCCTTCTCCTGGTGAGGTCTCAGCACACTGGCGGAGCCCCTGACATCACCTGGGCGCCACCTTGCCTGCCGTGTGGGCGCTGGTGCAGGTTACGTCATATGCAAAGGTGTCGGCTACAAGGGACGGATATGATGACATTTCAACCCAGGTTTAATCCACTAGCCAGAGGCCATGCGACCTGCTCAGAGAAGGGATCTTTCTGCAATTTGTCTGTCCGGGGTGGCGGGGAGGGGCACCTTCCCGTAAATCACCCGAAGGCTCCACAGATTGGCAGCCCTCCTCTGTTGTGAGACACCTGGAGAGCCGCCAGACTTTGTTTCAATTCTTGTTTCTATCACATTCAGCTGTGAGACCTTGTTCTAACTAATTCCTGGACCTTCTCTGAATCTTCGTTTCCTCTTCTGTAAAATAGGGAAACAACGCCTCCAGAGGGTGAAGACTGAATGAGGTGTGTGCCCACACTGACCGTTGGGTTTTTTCCCCCTAGTTAGCTTCAGCTTTCATCTTTGGCTTAAATACATTTTTTTTTTTTACACTAGAAAAATGATATACCCATACTAATGAAAATATTAAAAAATGAAATTACACATTTTCATCTACTCCTAGTTCAACTATTTATGCCTTTCGTTGTATTTCCTTCCCGTATTTTTTTTCTAAGCCTTTTTTTTTTTAACTTAGTTACACGTTTTTAGTGCTTCATTGTCTTCACAGCCATAATTTTAATGGCTGTCTACAGAATTCTTTCTACATACACCATATTTTGCTGAGTCATTTCCCTGTTGTTGAATATTTACACTGTCTCCCGTTTTTGTTCTTATAAATAAAACCGGTGAACATCTCAGAGTATATGTCTCCGATATTTTGACTGTTTTCTAAAAAGACAGTCCCAGAAATAGAAATATTGGGTCAAATCTAGGAGCATTTCTCTGGCTTTAGTGATGCATAACCTTGTAATTAGTTGTGACTCTAAGTGCAGGATATTCAGTCTCTGTCTTATCTAAAGGATGCGAGGAGAGATTTGATTACATGCCTTGCTGAAATCCATCTAAATGAAATCTAGAAAATGTCCTTGGTCTGTGAGCCTAGTAAGTAACCTTATCCATAGAAAATAATTCCTACTTCATAGAGTGGATGTGAGGATTAAAGGCATCATCGCATGACCACTCAGACCAGGGCCCAGCATGAGTGAGCCCTTGACCGACTGGTCAATCCCTATTCTTGTTTTCTCCCTGTGAAGGATTTGAGAGTATTCTGAGCACTCTAGGGACCACTGCTTTTCTTACCAGACTCTTAGGGTTTGACTCTTGTAAGGTTATCATCCCTTGACTAATGGCTGCTGCTGCTGCTTCTTCTTCTTCATCTTTCTTCTCCTTCTTCTTCTTCTTCTTCTTCTTCTTCTTCTTCTTCTTCTTCTTCTTCTTCTTCTTCTTCTTCTTCTTCTCCTCCTCCTCCTCCTCCTCCTCCTTCCTCTTCTTCCTCTTCTTCCTTTCTTCTTCTTCTTCTTCTTCTTCTTCTTCTTCTTCTTCTTCTTCTTCTTCTTCTTCCTCCTCCTCCTCCTCCTCTTCTTCTTCTTCTTCCTCTTTCTCTTCTTCTTCTTTTTTAAATAAGAATTTTATTTATTTGAGAGAGAAAGAGAGAGATTGAGTATGAGCAGGGGGATCAGCAGAGGCAGAAGGAGAAGCAGACTCCTCACTGAGCAGGGAGCCCAATGTGGGGCTCGATCCCGGAACTCCAGGATCATGACCTGAGCCAAAGGCAGATGCTTAACTGACTGAGCCCCTTGACTAATGGTTTCTGTTTGCTAAGGGGTTCGGTTTTGCTTTGTACACTTGTTCGTTTCCAAATACAGGTCCATAAAGAGAACTATGCAGTCAAAGATGTACAGCCTTTCTCTAGTATATATGATATTATAGATATTTAAAAGATATTAAATCAGATATTAAAAAGACACCTTTAAGTAGGTACCATAAAGGAGATGAGCGAGTCTGGCAGTTGGGTTTGTTTCTTTATTTATACCTTGCCTCGTTTCAAAAAGGACCCGAGGCCTTTACAGAGCCACATATCCTATAACAGGTGCCTGGCATCTAGTAAGACCCGCAGCTGCTCAGCACTGGCCATTACCACTGATAATAGCCGCAGTTGTAAAGTGTCATTAACAAGACAAAACAAAAACAAAAACCAAAAAAACAAAAACAAAAACACAAAAGGCAAAGGGAAAACAAAGGGGAAAATGATAACACGAATCCAGGGTCGGTACACAAAACATATGGTGTAAAGGTCAGTTGATACCATTGCTAAAAGCGAGGCACACATTTGCTGAGCTTTCTAGAGGCCCAAGCAAATGTTGGTTACGTAATTCATGGGAGGCCCGGGAGAAAGTTCTGGGAGTCCTCATCAAAATGATATTTCGTGATGCAGAGGACCATGTCTTCAACTCCACCCCCTAATTCTGAATCCAGTCCAACACAGACAGATGGGCTCACAAAGCCCCAGTGCGGTGGGAGATGGATCATGGCCGTGCTAAGTTCCTAAGTTCAGCCAGACCGCTTTTAAAGCCACTGTTACAAATCACACATCCCAGCCTTAAGCAATCCCAGTAAGGGGCTTAGCTACAACATGTATCTTTCGGCCCTGGGGGTTGGTAGATACACAGTATCTCCAGGGGCCATTCACAAAGAATGGAACAGGGTGGCTCTGGAAATACACAACTGGCAAGAAGATTGCTTTGTTTCAACATTGTAAGGGGGATTAATATAGGAGCTTTTGTCGTTTGGTTTTTCACCCTTGAGATCTGACCACTACGTTTGGAGCAAGCCTGCCTTTTACAGGGGCAATCAAGGGGGTTAAGTGTCTGCCTTCGGCTCAGGTCATGATCCCAGGGTCCTGGGATGGAGCCCCATGTCAGGCTTCTCCCTCCCACCGTCCCCCCCACCCCCCACTCCTGCTCTCTCTCTTAAATAAATAGATAAAATCTTAAAAAATATATATATATATACAAGGGCAATTAAGCTGTGCCTGCTTCCAGCTGTTCTGTCTCCAGGTCACCTTCCTTTTTCTCAGGGGTCTAGGACCTGTAACCCCGGAGGGCTTGGATTTGACCTTCTTCCTTCCGTTTTAACTAACATCTTTTGTGCCAAGCATTTGACATGAGTTATTTTACAGTTTTCCCATAACTCTGGCAGGTGGCTATTGCTGCCTGTTTTATGCTGACAAAATAGAAGTGCAGAGATATATGAAGTACCTTGCCCAAGGGCACCCTGCTAGTAAGAACTGTGATTTAATGCAGTTCTGTAGGACTGGGGACCCTTATTCTTCCCTGCACCAAGCCATCTTGAAAATCTCTGTTCGATGGTTTGGTTTAGGATTCCAATTGAGTTAAACATCAAGTTTTCTGCCCTTTGGTTTGTGTTATTGATATCTTTCCCTTGTTTTGCAAACCGGGACTTCGTTTGTCTGTCTCCAGATTTTGTATCTCTTCTCCAATGAGTCAGGTGGCTTGGAGCACCGCTCGCTGGCAATTTTTCTCATTTTACTTCTCCAAGTCAGATCAGGAGGTGGGGATTAATTCAAAGTAGCACGATGTTTTTTCAA